AGATCTCTAAATAATTCAGATGGGATGTTTTTGATGCCTTCATGGTGGCTATTCTTCTTAAGTGTGTAGAGTGACATAATTGTATAACTTATCAGAACATGACACACACCCCCCCTTCACTTTTTTTTTTTACACCATGCAAAAATCTCTTCCTTAGTTGCACCTCCTCTGTGAGAAACTATTGGCTTTTAGAATACATGGTTTACTTTGGAACTCAAAGATTTCAAATAAAAATTATTATTGGTTTTGTTAGAAGAACCGTAAATCAATGGATATTAATCTTGTTTCTGCTGTTGGAGCTCAAGAGGTAATTTGTCATCTTGCTGTGTTTCTTCTCGGCTAGATTGCAGCAATCCGTTTTAATTGCAGTGCTGAAAAACTTTCATGCAAAGATCTAGTACTTGGGAGCATTTGATCCTGCTCTTAATAGCAAACTGATTTTAAGGTCGGTTCATGGGGAAGGTGGGAAGGGGATTTAAATAGTCACTAATTCTATAGAATGAAGCCACATCTTAACATCACTAACTGCAAGACTTTCTGATAAGTTCTTCTATGAACAAATTAGAAGATCACTGAAGTGCCATATTACTAGAGTTGTGTAAAAGAGCCTTACAGTGTTTTGGTTTGGTTTTTATTTTTATTTTTTTGAAACTGCAGTTAGCAATTTTGCTGAATTCTCATTACATCACCTTTTCTGTAAGCATGAAAATAGATTTGATAGAAGTCTGTTTTCTAATTTTGGGAGGTATTTAAGCTTGTGCATAATTGCGAGCATGGGAATAGTCCATTAAATTCAGTTGGATTCTACTGTGTGCTTCATTGGCTGTCCAACTTCTAATATGTGGAAGATAATAAACTTCCTTCTCATCATGTTTATTATGAAGGTAAAAGTTCTATAATATTAGCTTGAAATATCTTCTGCATTTCTCCCTGGTACTTGCTTCCTTGAGAGTTGGAACTTTTTTGATTTAATCTATTGTTTCATACTGATCAAATTTCTTTTTGAGGGGAAGTTGAGGAAAAACTCGGTTTATGCTTACTTGAAATGTATCAGCAGCAGAGTTCTAACATACTTTGAGTGAAGCAGCATTATCTTTCCATACCTGTGAAGCTTGCTTATGCTTTTTATTGTAGCGCTGAAGGGTACCATTCTGGAATACATTGCTTGTGAAAAGAATACAGGGCAATACTGAAAGAAATCTCAGAATATTTTGCTGTCATTAAAAGGGTGATTGCATATGCGATACCCTTGGTGCATAAAATGGAATATAAAATAGGAAGAGAAGGTAGTATCGTCTCACAAATACAACCTTATTAACAACCTGGTTGAAATAATTTCACTCGCATTTTTGTCAATGCTTAAAAAAAAGTGAATGCGTGGAAGATGTTCAGGAAAGACTTGATTCTGTCTTACAGTCAGTCTCCTCAGTCATACCCAGGAGAAGGTTAAGAAGCAACTTAAATCATTTGATATTTACCTACACAACAGAGATATTTGATGGACAGTTCTTTAATATAAAAAGTTTTAATGAGCTCAACTATTTGAGATGGAAATTGGACAAATTCAGATAGGAAATAAATCACAATTGTTAAGTAGGGCAATTAATCATTGAAACAATTTACACAGAATGTGAAGCATTCTGTCTCAGCATAAAGACTCTATAAAAGAGATTCTCACAGATAAACTAGAAGTTACATACTTGATGCAAAAATTGTTTGATACAATTTTACCTAGCTTATTATGCAAGAAACTCAAGTAGGTGGATATGATGGTCTCCACAAGAGCTCATATTGTTTGAAATTTGTCTTTATGAGCATAAAGCATGTGATTAGATGGCAGCAATTAATAATCTGCAAGTAATGTGAATTTGCCGGGCAATTTTTGTACTGTGATCAGCGCTACTTTGCAAAGTGACTAGTAGTTTTAATTTTTGGAGATAGAATTGATTGGAGAATGTTGGGATCTTAGACTCCTTAATTCCAAGAGATCATGGACTCCCTTGGAGGTCTTAAACAACACAAATGGTATTCCAAATTAAGCACCCACAGTTAGCATTATTATCCCAAAAATGTGATGATACCTTCTTCTTTCAGAACAAATCTGAACACTTGCCCTGCCTACTTACCCTCAGTAAGTTTGTAGACGATAGTAAGTTAGGTGGGAGTGTCAACCTGCTTGAGGGTAGGATGGCCCTACAGAGGGATGTGGACAGGCTGGATCGATGGGCTGAGGCCACTTATATGAGGTTCAATAAGGCCAAGTGCCGGGTCCCGCACTTGGGTCACAACAACCCCGTGCAGCGCTACAGGCTTGGGGCAGAGTGGCTGGAAAGCTGCCGGGCAGAAAAGGACCTGGGGGTGTTGGTGGACATCCGGCTGAATATGAGCCAGCAGAGTGCCCAGGTGGCCAAGAAGGCCAACAGCATCCTGGCCTGTGTCAGGAATAGTGCGGTGAACAGGGCTAGAGAAGTGATCATCCCCCTGTACTCGGCACTGGTGAGTACAGGGGGGTGATCATTCCCACCTTGAGTACTGTCTTCAGTTTTGGGCCTCTAACTACTCAAGTCAGTGCTGGAGGTGGGAACAGCCCAGCCCTTGATGTTCCCAGCTTTCCACATCCTCCATGGATTAGTTTTGGGCCCCTCACTACAAGAAAGATGTTGAGGTGCTGGAGCATGTCCAGAGAAGGGCAACAAAGCTGGTGGGGAGTCTGGAGAACAAGTCTTATGAGGAGTGGCTGAGGGAACTGGGGTTGTTTAGCCCGGAGAAGAGGAGGCTGAGGGAAGACCTTATTGCTCTCTACAGCTACCTGAAAGGAGGGTGTAGCGAGGTGGGTGTCAGCCTCTTCCCCCAAGGAACAAGTGAAAGGACAAGAAGAAATGGCCTCAAGTTGCACCAGGGGACATTTAGATTGGATATTAGGAAAAAGTTCTCCACAGAAAGGTTTGTCAAGCATTGGCTGCCCAGGGAGGGGGTTGGAGTTGCCATCCCTGGATTTATTTAAAAGACATGTAAATGTGATGCCGAGGGACATGGTTTGATGGTGGTTTTGGCAGTGTTAGGTTGATGGTTGATCTTGATGATCTTAAAGGTCCCTTCCAACCTGGACAATTCCGTGATTCTATATGCAGACCTTGCTGCACAGGTAGCGCTTCGGAAAACTTAGAACACAGTATTTTGATATCTTTAGCACTTCCTCAGATCCATGTATCAGATTATTTGAACTCACCCAAAGTGCTTGCTGATGCATCTGCTTCTCATAAACGTTGTGAGCAATAAGGCATGTCTGCAAAACTTGGCTCCTGTAAAGCAAAATATTGTGTTTTTTTTCTTTTTTCCTAAAGATCTGTTTAAGCTCTTGCCAGTTCAATATACAGAGGTTTTTGAGTATTACCAAAGGAATGTCTGTATAACAGTGCTTGTGAGATGTTGCCATCTGGAGCAGTCCTGAACAATTGCCATGGGATTAGTTGGAATTCACAGAAAGGCATCCACTGCACCTTTGTAAATATTTATGGGTCAAGGCTTTGCCAGGACTGAAATAGGAAAGTATATTGCTGTGTTCTTAATTATGATGCTTTCAGCTTTTAATTCATATACAAATTGCAGGTACTAAGCAAAATGTGTTATTGATACAATAGTTAAAATATGTTGCTGTTAAAAGAAAAAACAGTGTAAGGGGTAACAGTGTCTCCAACCACCTGTTCATGGGTGGTGGATATAATCAAAGTTCATGAAATTCTCACCTGCCATATAAAGGTCAGTTTTAACAGGGTTGGTTTGCTTCGCTTCCCCTTTCTTCTGATTCTGTATTCTTTACTTAATTGCCTTAGTTTCTAAAAGACAATGTTATCTGAAAATAAGGAAGTGTTACCTACTTTCAAAAATTATTAGGATCATCCAGACTCTTACAACTTTGTATTTAATATGCAAAGTTGCGGGTTTTTTTTTTCCTCAAGTGACATTTCTTTCTTGTTTAGTGAATGTTGACTATTTTCTCTTTCTCTCATAGAATTTTGTTCTGTCTAAACTCTTATCATAGAATCATAGAATTGCTGAGGTTGGAAGGGACCTTTAAGATCATCAAGTCCAACCATTGGCCTACCCTGACAAAACCACTTCTAAACCATGTCATCAAGTACCACATCTACCCCTTTTTTAAAGACCTCCAGGGATGGTGAATTTACCACCTCCCTGGGCAGCCTATTCCAATGTTTAATAACCCTTTCAGGGAAAAATTTTTTCGTAATACCCAATCTAAACCTCATCTGACATAACTTGAGCCCATTTCCTCTCATTTGTCACTAGGGAGAAGAGGTCAGCCCCCACCTCTCTACAACCTCCTTTCAGGCAGTTGTAGAGAGTGATAAGGTCTCCCTTCAGCCTCCTCTTCTCCAGGCTAAACAACCCCAGTTCCCGCAGTCATTACTTATAAGACTTATCTTCCAGACCCCTCACCAGCTTTGTAGCCCTTCTCTGGATACACTCCAACACCTCAATGTCCTTCTTGTAGTGAGGGGCCCAAAACTGAACACAGCACTTGACGTGGGGACTCACCAGTGCCGAGTACAGGGGGATGATCACTTCCCTAGTCCTGCTCATCACACTATTCCTGATACAGGCCAGGATGCCATTGGCCTTTTTGGCCACCTGGGCACACTCCCGGCTCATATTCAGCCGGCTGTCCACCAACACCCCCAGGTACTTCTTTTGACTTTCTGTCTTCAATCTTTGAGATTACTAGTTGGGGGCGGGTGAGTTGTAAGGGTCTGTTTCTAGTTTATTTAAATACTTATTTTTACAAATCAGTTTAAAATAGGCATTTTACGTAATGTTGTAAATTTCCAACAATCTGCTGTAACTTAAAAGTAAAAGAGAGATTCTCTACAAAACTTCCATAACTGAAATCATTATGTCTGCTACTGTATACTTCACGTAGAATAGTGTATGTTTTAACTGTTGAATTGAATTAATTTTTGTCATGTCTGCCCCCGTTCCAGGTGCAGGATAAGTTTCGTTTGGACCTGTCCGACGAAGAAGCTGTACATTATATGCAGAGTCTAATTGATGAAAGTGTCCATGCCCTCTTTGCAGCTGTGGTGGAGCAGATACACAAGTTTGCACAGGTGAGATATTTTCTCAATTGGTGGTGTCAGTGAAAACGGAGTAAGGTGAGAGTAAGGTTGCAAGTGGTAAGTTCAAGACTTGACTTCATTGTTTATGATGTTCTAGTTCATTTTCCAACTTGCGTTCTTGCTGCTATGACTTGAGAGCAAGCTTTTAGTGGTCCTAAAGAATTCTTTAAAGCACCTTAGCAAATATGCTAAGTGCAATGTAACTGGTTGTATTACCAAGGGTAAGAACTGCAAATTGGAAGCTGGAGTTCTGAGGGAAGGATCCAGAACTTCCTTAGCTTTCATTCTGGAAGTAAATGAGTGAAGGTAAACTTCCATTCTTTGGCTTCCTTAACTGGGCATTCCAGCTAGTTATTTTGATCATTAATAGGCACAGCCACTTGCACAGAAGGGGCCAGGAGCTCTGCTCATAACAGTATTCACACCCTCTGTGATATTGATGCTGTACCACAGAACATGGTCCTCTGCAGCTATGTGAGCAGCTGTCCCCTATGTCAGAGGCCTCAGCACAGATGGAGATCCTAAGGGATAATGCAGTTTTTCACATTAGGCACTGTAGGGGGTGGCTCAGATCTCTTGCTGGGGCAGTAGAAATTGGGCTCCTTGCTTGCAGGAGTTGTGCAGTGTTGGAATGTCTACATCACGAAGTAAAGGGGCTCTGGGATGAGGTCAGAAGACTGCACAGTACTAGGGCTGACAAGAAAGGGATTGACCAGATCTTCCTGAAGACCTTGTAGATAGAAAGCCTGAACCTCCAGCTGCACTGAAAGAGGAGCAAGAATATGTTGTGCTCATCAAGTTAGGACATGGAGACTCCTAGGATGGTAACAGCTGGCACTGTGGGATTTCTGGTATTAGGAGGGATGGCTTCTGCTCTACCTGCAGGTCTGCACCTGCGGAATATATTCAAGGTGATTGGGAGTAGTCAGCATGCATTTACAAAAGGGAAATCATGCCTGACGAGCCTGATGGGTGCTTAAGATAAAATGGCGATCTCAGTGGACTGGGTGAAAGCTGTAGGTATTATTTATCTTGTCTTTTGCAAGGCTTTGACACTGTCTTCCATAATATCCTCATAAAGAAACTGGAGCAATATAGACTAGAGAAATGGACACTGATGTAGATTGGAAACTGGCTGATGGGCTAGGATTAGAAGGTTGCGATCAGTGGCACAAACTTCATCTGGAGGCCAGTCACTAGTGGTATACTCCGAGGGTTGATACTGAGGCCAAAATTGTTGAGCATCTTCATTAATGACCTGGATGATGGGATGAAGTGCACCCTCAGCAAGTTTGCAGACAATGCAAACTGGGAGCAGCTGATACACCAGAAGCATCAGCTGCCATCTACAGGGACCTTGACAGGCTGGAGAGATGACTACATAGGAACCTTATTGGGTTCACCAAAAGGAAGTACCTAAGTGTATGTGGTGTGGACTAGCCCTTTGTACAAGCACAGGCAAGGGGGGCAGGTGATGAGGTGGGAAGCCACTTTTCAGAGAAAGCTGTGAAAGTTTTGGTGAAGTTGCACCTGATGTGGACCACTAGCACTGGTCAACAGCTCAATGTCTGGATTCAGATCAGTGATGAGTAAAGTCTCTCGGGGTCAGTATTGGGACCAGTACTGTTCAATACTTTCATCGATGACATAGTTGGATTGAGTGCACCCTCACCAGATTTGCAGACAACACCAAGCTGAATGGTGCGGTTGACATGCTTGAGGGACGGGATGCCATCCAGAGGGACCTGGACAAGCTCGAGAACTGGGCACCTGTGAACCTCATGATGTTCAACAAGGCCAAGTGCAAGGTCCTGCATGTGGGTTGGGGCAGCCCCAGGTATCAATACACACTGGGGGATGAAGGGATTGAGAGCAGCCCTGCCGAGAAGAATGTGGGGGTACTGGTGGATGAGAAGCTGGACAAGAGCTGACAATGTGCACTCACAGCCCAGAAGGACAACTGTGTCCTGGGCTGCATCAAAAGAAGCATGGCCAGCAGGTCAAGGGAGATGATTCTGCTCCTCTGCTCTTCTCTGGTGAGAACCTACCTGCAGGGCTGCCAGCAGCTCTGGGGCTTCAGCACAGGAAGGACATGGACCTGTTGCAGCAGGTCCAGAGGAGGGCAACAAAAATGATCAGAGGGCTGGAGCACCTCTGTTATGAGGACAGGCTGAGAGAGTTGGGGTTGTGAAACACTGACACAGGCTGCCCAGAGAGGTGATAGATGCCCCATTCCTGGTAACGTTCAAGGTCAGGTTGGACAGGGCTCTGAGCAACCTGATCTAGTTGAAGATGTCCCTAGTCATTGCAGGGGGGTTGGACTAGATGACCTTCCGTCCCAAACTGTTGTATGATTCTATGCAGCAATATGATCTTGTGGCAAAGAAGGGCCACCAGCTTCCATGACCACATTAGCCAGAGTGTTGCTGGCAGGTGGAGGGAGGTGATCCTTCCCCTCTGCCCAGTGCTATGTGAGATTCACCTGGAGTGCTGTGCCGCTTTTGGGTTCCCCAGTAGAGGAGAGACGTGGACGTGCCGGAGTGAGTCCAGCAAAGGGCGATGGAGATGATCAAGTGCTTGGAGCATCTGTCATACAGGGAGAGGCTGAGAGAGCTGTGAGTGCTCAGCCTGGAGAAGAGGATGCTCAGGGTTCATACGCATACCAATGCATATGAACGCCTGATGGAAGGGAGTAAAGAAGATGGAGTCAGGCACTTTTCAGTGGTGCCCAGTGACTGGACAAGAGATAATGGGCACAAACTGAAAGACAAGAAAGTTCATCAAAGAATTTTTACTGTGAGGGTAATCAGACACTGGGACTTGTTTGCCAGAGAGGTGGCAGAGTTTCTCTCTCTGAAGATGCTTTAAAATCCAACAGCTCAATGTCCTGAGCAACCTGTGATGTTTGGCCCTGCTTGAGCAAGGGGATTGGACTTAATGAGAGGTCCCATCCACCCTCACACGTTATCTAATTCTTGCTAATGCTCTGGGGTGTCAATAAATTATTATCTCCGCTATTTTTATTATTAAAATTTACCCTTTCTCTAGTATGGAGAATGAAGTGTTTAACCACGCATATGTGTGCTGTGTTACAAGCCACAGTAAGACAGTAAAATGTTTAATTATCATATTGAATAAAACTGTCTTCGCAAAAGCATTTCTTCTTTGAATTTACATTGTTTTTTCCTTAAATCCGTCCGTGTGTAGACCTTTCTTTTAATAACAGATGGATAGTCACTTTTAAAAAGACACGTCTTTTTTACTTCATTGGCTTTAGGTGACTGCCAGACTCTCCCAGATAATTGTTACTGCATTTGTGAAGCTGTATTAGTAAGTCAGAGTTTACAGGTTTGATTTAGGTGACCTTTTCTTTTTCCATTCAGACTTGTTCTTGCTTGACCTTTCTTCAGTGCTTACAGCTGCTTTTAAAATCACTGGACAGATTTGTTCAGAATATTTAAAAATACCCGAGAATTTGAACCCAGGCTTCTAGCTCCCAGGAATGGTGTTCTAAGGAAAGGCTGATGTATACAGCAGCTGGCAAGGATTGTGTCTTCGATTTATATTTTGGGAGTTAAAAAACAAGCACACGTTGTGTACATATTGCACTTTGGATACCAGATTAGCGGATGTGACAGCCACTAATGCACACCTGATCCAGTTGTCTCATTTGGGGTTTTTACCTTTCCAGCTGACCCATGCTGGGTTCCAGCACAGAGACTTTTGGCCTCTTTTTCCTGTGCTGTGGGGTTTGGGTGTCTAAAATGAAGACAATAGTGTGTTGCTTTTAGTGCTGAATGGCTCCATGTGATGTTAGATTCTTCTGCTAGTTTGGGGAGTTCAGATTATTGCCTCCATTCATGTTCTGTAAGTAATTACACTTGCCGGCTTCCCCCTGCAAGAACACTAGATGCTTGAAAGTATGAGGAGAGTACAAAAAGAATAGTCATAAATTAATCAGCAGTTGACAAGTCTTAAGAATCCGAGGTCCATTTATATGTTTTTTTTTAAAAACTTAAAAAAAAAAAATCTATCAAAATTAAATGTAATTAATGTCTATTCTGTTTGTATTACAAGTGAGGTAGGACACTTTAGTGATATTTAGGACTTCATTAGTCAAAATCATTATCTTTTTTTGTCTGAGGCAGTCTTAAGAATTTGCTGCCGGAATCTTCACAGAGTCTGTAAATCGTTGGAACAAATGAACAATTAATGCGTCATTGAATTTGCTGTAAAGGGGTCATCTTACACAATGGCCAACTGAAGCTTTCAGTTTGTTCATGTATAAAGCTGCGTTGCATTGCCGGTGGCCTTGTTCTTAATAGTAATATAAGTAGTCTAAAAAAAACCAATAACAAACAAAAAAAACCCCACACTACACAGGTATTATGACATATGCTTAAGCAGCAGATTTTGGCCTAATGCCACACAATTTTTCATTTGAAATGCTCTTCAGCATGTTTTTTTTTTGTTTATCAATAGATACTTATTTTCTTACTGCCTCCAAAATAGGCCTACAAGGAATCTGTGCTGTCTAGTGCAGCAGTTAAGAGTTTTTAATAAGGTTGGTTATTATAGAAACTGTTGTGTATCAGCATTCTATGTCACTCTCTAGTAAGTAAAGCTCTTGGATAAAGCAATCTAGGTATTTTGGCATCATCTTGGTATTGTTCTTTTGTAACAATATTGTAAATTGAGTTCTGTTCTTCTGTGTTATGAAGTCTTTAGTTTCTAATGCATCTCTGTTATCTTATAAGATATTTTACAGACCTTTTTATGTAGTACTTGTCTCCTTAATGGTTATCAAAAAACTGTTGTCTCAAAAGTAAATAAATTTAACATTTAGAATAAGTTAATGGTGTTCTACAGTAGTGCTCAAGAGGATAAAAAGTGCATACTAATTTCAGTTAATACTAATGAAGACTGGATAGCCATTTCTCCCTGGAGAGTCATTTTCATTTTAGCAGCATTATTTATTTCTGCAGAGGAAGGAAGCAGTCTCCAATTGAAGTGACTAATTTCACATTTTATTTCCCTTGTAAATTTACAAGTCAACTCGGTTTCATTCTGGGCTTCTGTTAAGCACTGATTAAAAAGTGAAAGCTTGGGGGATGAGGAGCGTCCCACCTAAAACGTAGCTGTAGAATTTGGGGTTGTACTAATGGTTGGCTGCTCTCTGTTTAGAAACAAACACAAATTAAGCTGTAAATGTTGAGTAGCTTTAGAATACCTCCGGCTGTGGTCCCAGTCCAGCTGCATCCCAGAATGCAGCTGTGGTTCCTTTCCCTTAGGACAAGGCTACTGTTTTCCTCCTATTGGATGCCAAAATAAAATAGGAAACATCTACCAGCAGGATTGTGTAGACTGGATGAAACCATTTGTCAAGGGGCAAATAGAGTTGGTTTCCAAGCTGTTTGTTTTCCTGAAGGGTTGTGAAAATTGCCTGCCTTTAGGCATTTCACCATGCTTTTAAACATAGGGTTCAATTTACGCATAACTTCTGTTCTTTGAGAGTGAACCAGGTTGAATAAATGCTGTGCTATGTGTTTTTTTGTTTTCTTTTAGTATTGGAGAAAATAAGCCTTTTGCCTATCTGCGGTGGAAACAAGGAATGCTCAAGAAAAAAGACTCTCTCAGGCCCTTGTGGACAGTTTTGGAAGGTGAAAGCTGCAGGTTTGGTAGCATGAAGAATTCAGAACTCAGGAGGTGGAGAAGCTTTTTGAGTGTCCGTTCTATGAAGGTTTGAAAACAACCTTTTTCCTTTTTATTTTTAAAAGGAAAATGGTTGGTTATACCATCCTTCAGGCTCAGATACTATGGCATTTTTTTCTAGTGAAAACATTTGAGCCTCAAAGGTTGAAGTAAGCAACTTCCTCCTAAGCCAAAGATAACTGGAAGAGGCTGGATTTGATGGTCAATTCTTGTACCTGTTAATATATTTTCTTATTTATAACAGAAATCATTGCTGTACTGAACATGGGTATGTACAGAGTTACAGCACTGAGGCTACAGTTCCTCCATGCAGAAAAAACACAAAACCCACAAAACTATGGCAATCTCCTCTCTTCCCTTCCCAGCAACTTTGTTCCTTGAATAAGTTTTAAATGTAATTTGTATGATCCTTTATTTCCCACCTTTGGCAATGTTATCGTTTAGAAAGGACAATCATTTCCTCCCTGCTTACAAAAATGTTCTTAAGTGCTGATAAGTTAGCCAGCTGTAGGCAGCCAATTAAATCATCACTAACAGGCTCAGCAACCGGAATGCACAGTGAGCTGTTCAGTATTTCACACTTTAACTCTGAATGTTTTCTGTACAGTGATTATATATTCTTGACTCTAATAAACTCTTTGTTGTTGCAGTCTTGAGGTGTTCTGTTTTGTCTTTTTCATCTTACCTGCTGAGATACGGCATACTAGAGGATTATGTTCATAACGCTTGGCTTTTTGCAAGGATTTTCACTCCTCAGTTTGCTTGATGCAGGAATAAGGCCACTCATAAAATGACTTCTGTGCCGCATGTTGAGTTCATAATGAATCTGTTTTGAATGATCAACAATGTAATTAGCTCTTCGTAAATGTGTGGATCTCTTCAAAGGGTGCTCTGATACTCCTGTATTTTTTTTAATAATAATTTAAGTCAGGAAGAAATCCCTCCCAATTACAAAGGTGAGAAGGACTGGTTTGAATCTGAATCTGCTATTTGTGTGTCAGGCTTGTTTTGTGCTTCTTTTGCTAGCAAACACCAGAAGAGTGTTGATGGAGGAAAATCCATTAGGGTTGTGATGGGTCCTTAGTTATTTCAGTGTATTACCTGAATTTGCTAGTTAAACACAACATTGGTTCAACCCCTGTCTTCCCCTATATGTGAGACTTCGAGGAACTATATTGCCCTAGTTACTTAGTGCTTGTGTTAGCTGGCAAAACACAACGCCACAGAGGAGCCACAGCAGTACCTCATATTGTTAGTTGACACTTCTTTGGAGAAGTAGTAATTACTGTTTTCTTGTGGATTTTTTTTTGTTGTTGTTGTTCTGCTTCACCTGGCAGAAGCACATATTTCTCTACTGCCTGTATGTGCCATGAGCTCATTATACGTACAGTACTTCGTGGTATCTTCCAAGGATATTCTTGAGAGCATGGACTTTTCCAAAATTCAGAGAAAATTCTACAAAAAAAAAATTGTCTTTTTTAATTTGTTTGAAGGGGCATCCTATGTACTCACACAGGTTGTTGAGTTGTATGGTGTAGCCACGCTTCATTTGACTGAGTTCTTAACTCCTGATCCCCAGCCCTTTCCTTCCGCTGTACATATTCTAGGATTTTCACAGCAGCTCTTTTGAAGAAAACTTCCTCTTCCTCTTGCCCAAGGCAAGTTATGAAGAATATGGGCATGAGCTGCTCTGCACCGGTTGACCAGACAGGCCAAGGATGACCCTTTGTTAAAACCCAAAAGACATGGTCAGTCTGGTCCTACAGCACATTTCACTTTGCAAAGAGATTTATAAAGCGTTAAATGTAACTTTTATAAGCACATTACAAATGAATGCACAGTTGTTCACTATGTCTTGTGGTTTAAAATGAATATATGAATATAATAACCTGTTCATATGCTGTACTATGCAACAGCCTATTAAAAGTATACGCAAAGTCAGTTATGAATGTTGGCATGTGAACCCAAACGGAATCTGAGTGCGATATGTAAGGCTTAGGAAGACCCTGACTTCACTGTAAATCACTGACCACTTCATAAATGGAGAACCTCAGGCACAGAAATGGAAGAGCTTGCCTGAGTCAGTGGAACATAATCCAACTTGTGTGTTCGTCTGTGTTTCTGCTTGTTGAGTGACCTTGCATATTTTTCCAGTGTATTTTCTAAAGAATTTTGTAGTGTACATACCAGCTGAGTGCTGACAAACTGTCTGGATATAACTCTGATCCAACTAGTGACTTTTGTGGGGCTGGGGTTTACGGGTGTTCCCAGCACCCATAAACCCTTACAGGGTGAAGAACAGGGCAGCACTGGGACTGCTACAACATACTAGAAGGAAATTGATGACTTTAAACCTGGTGTTCTGAATACCAAAATATTGTTGAAAATTATTCTTAGAAGTCCACACATCAATAGATCATTTTTTTTTAGTCCGCATGTACAAAGTTCTGACTTTATTTTGCAAAATCTGATGCCTCTTAGCACTTTGTGCAGCATCATCTATTTAAAGTAAAAAAAAAAAAAAACCAACAAAAACCAAAACCCCTTAAATTTGGGGGTAAAAGGGATTTTTTTTTTTTTTTTTTTTTTTAAATTCAGGCTTTTCTTATTTCATATGTTAGTCTAAAGCTTTGACTTACTGGACTACAAATGTTTAATGGATTTTCTATCATGGTTCGATATATCTATGTAATCCAGTACTGTGAGTGTATTACATTTCTGTCTCTTAACTTCTGAATCCCCTGAATAACTACCGCCAGTTTTGTCTTGAGGAGTACAGGTCTCAAAGGTGAAATCCTTACATGTTTCACGGAGTAGATCCCCAGCCAGAGGAGGGTCCCCAGGGAATGTCAGGCAGCAGTTTCACCGTGCATGTGTATTTTTATATATGTGTATGCGGGGCTGCGTGCACGCACTAACTTCTGCACAGATTGAGGCTGTGAGCTCCATCACGTGTATCAAAGCATGATGCAGTACTTGGTAGGAAACCAGGCTGTACCAGTTGTGTCGCAGAATAACTTGTCAAAAGTCATCCTGTTAAGTCTCTCCAGGAAACATTGCAGAGAAAAAGAAACAGAACAGTCAAAAAATAACTTTGCCATGGGCTTGTTTTACTTAGCATTGTTATTTTGTATAACTAGAGATAAAAAGTACTATAAAGCCAGCTTGTTGGGTGCTTTATTTGCCTTTCATCATCCAGCTTGGTTTCATCCCGATTTTATTTTCTTCTGGAGTCTCTGGTGGTCTTTCTGTTGGGATTGAAAGTGAGGGAAGTGAAAGAAATTGTTCCATCAGGTGTTCCCCACCCCCCGTCCCACCCCCCACTGTCTTTGGTTGTTTTCAACTGCCAGTGCTTGAGGAGCAGAAAGTGGCACAGTCGTCTTTTTTTGTTTGTTTGTTTTGGCTTTGGGTTTTTTGGGGGGGAAGAATCAGTAATTGCCAAAGTAGTATTTTTTGGGGGGGTGGAGTAGGGGAATAGGAAGGAGAAGAATGGGCTCTTTGCTGTAATATAGAAGTCATATATTCTTTTGGCAAGAAATGTAGGGACAATCTTACAGACAGTTACCTGGCTTTGTTCTCCTTGTGTGCAATCTAAAATAAGTAAAAAAAAAAAAAAAAAAAAAAGGCACTTTTGCAAGGCTTTGGGGCAATAGTGGCTTCGGAAAAAGGAAGGAGGAACAGAGAATGGGAATCTTGACGCCTCCTGGTGGAGTGGGGTAGCAGCAAAGAGAGGTGGTTCGGCTAAATGGCCCTCCTTGTGTAGCCAGCTAAGGTTTTACTCACAAGACCTGGTGTTGTCAGTGGATGGTAAAATACCGTGGTTATTATGAAGTCTCTGAAGCGCGTACATTTAAGGAGTCTTAAGGGAGTCGTTGAAAACAGATTGCAGGTGTATTGTGTTAGGATAGATTTTTGTAACCTCTGCAGCCGATGTGATGATTCTTTGTGATAGTAAAGCTCCTTGAACTGCAGTTTCAGTGTCCTTGTGTCCTTCCAGGCATCCCTGATTTAAAATGGACTCTGCTAGGGGGGAAGAAATTTCGCTTTGGAAGGAAAATACCGAACCCCAGCTGCTGCTGGAGTATCGAGCAGTGACGGGGTTCACCTGCCTGTGTTCAGACCTCGAAGGGCAGGGACATTGCTGCCTCAAACGGGAGGAATTCATAGCTCATCTACACACAGGCGTTAGTCGATTAAGCTGTGTGTGGGATGGTCCGTTCCAAAGTGGATTAAGCTATACCACAGGGAGGTACTTAAATTCTGAATAAAACCTCTCCACAATTAGACGTTTTGCAAAATTTAACAGAGCCACTTGGAATGCCTTCCCTTGACAGAAGTGTGTTTGTCCTCATTTTTTCCCCATCCCCCTCATCAATGGTGAGGGATCAGAAGATGGCGATTTTCCAGACTGGCTCTGAGGAGGGTGTTCAGTTCATAAACGACAGTGCACGGGGAGGAGAGCGATGTGAGGGGAGGGCTGAGCCAACGGGGGGAATTCTGGGGAGGTCTGGGATCAGTCCTTCCATGGGCAGGGACATTCCCATTCCCTGTGCTCCAGCCTGGAGTCCTCACAGTGATGGTCGGATAATGGCGCTCTCCTCGCCGCGCTCTGTGCTTAGGCATTAACTGGAATGTGTAGTGGGTAAATCATGTAGATACATAATCCACAGTGTCAAACAAACTGTGTCATCTGTGCTTAGTCTCTAAAGTGGGAAGACTTTTTGCACAGTCCTTTCTTCAGTGTGTCTTTCACTGGGAATCAGGTCATGAAGTTAATTGTAACCAAAGGCTTCTCTCTCCTGTGTCTATTTAGTGTACCATCTCTCGCTGATTAGAGACTGAAGAACCCATATTGAGAAACAAAAATGGCTCTTTTTATTTATTTTTTTTTTTATTTAATTTAATAGGTTTCTTTTCTGGCACAGTCATATATAAACAGCTTTCTAGCTGAGAAGATGAGAAGTAATTAGGAAAAACCTCTGCTTTTAACAAACCTTTCACAAACTACTTCCCTTGGAATTTCAGGTGGAGCAA